CAATTAATCAGGGAGAAATAAAAAAGACAATAAATCAGTCCGTCAAAGGGGCTGTAGTGAAGAGTGGGAACAGCTTTATACGGTGTTTGTCTAGTCGATAGCATCATTTACTATATAAATAACCATCTACATGAACTTTTTCTTGCTTTCCACATACATTTTCCACAGCTGGCAAGTGTGTGTTTACGTATCTATAAACCATTCTGCAAATACTGCTCTCAAGCAGCCCACGTGGCAGAATTATAAATATACCCTATTACAAGTTTATTTGTAAAATTATCCATACAAACCTAAAGTTATCTGTCTAGCTTTGTTGCTTACTTTTTGACAGTTATAAATGTGTAGATAATTTTTTTCCTCAGTACTGTTTTGATTTTCATGGGGTTTTTTTTGTGTGTGTTTGGGGTTTTTTTTTGGGTTTGGGGTTTTTTTTTTTGTGGCAGAGGGAATAGCCAGAGTGTCATCTAGTGCACCCTAGTGGCCAGATACAACTTCACTGAGTCTGAGGTGAGGGTCTTACTGGTTTACCACTTCATATTCCTTTCCTGTGTTAGAAAATGCTGTTTTCATGCAGGTTTAGAGGAAGGATTTGAACCACGCTGCTTATGATTCAGTTACCACATTACCAACAAGGCTAGGGGCTGTTCAGGATACTCATCTTTCTCTCTGTCCTTTTTTTTTTTTTTTTTAGTAAATGCCTCTCTCTGAGTTTCTCAGTTTTTCTCTGTTTCTCTAGCCATTGTAACATACCTCACTTTCCCACTTCACCTCCCCAAATTTAAAAGACTTTCCTGTTCTTGTTCTTGGTTTATTTCCCATATTAGAGTTATATATTTGGAAATCTTGTTTAATTTTTTTAAATGACTAGTTTGCTTATGATTATAAGACCTCCCTTAAAAATAGATTTCATGAAAAAGGCTTAAAAAATTCAAATCTATTGTTAGGAAGAGGCTATTAAATTATCATAAAAATTCTTAATTGTAGATTTATTTGAATTTAAAACAAATAAATAAGTTCTTCAAATCCAAGCTTTTGTGGCTGCTGTTCAGGGGAGACAGGGTTCAGGATCTCTGAGCCTAAGTTTTTTTGTTGGTCCAAGGGGAAAAAAAAAATTCTCAGATTCCATTGCTATAAATGTGCATACTCTAACAAATTTCTTAAGTGGTCTCCAGAAAATAATATTAAAGCAGTGATGGCACTTTAATATAAACTAACTATTTTGAATGACAAAAGTCAAATACTGCTAAACTGAGATCAGTGTGTTAGTCATGTTCTCTCCAGTTAGATCATTTGCATTTAGTGTTACAGCTCTCCCATAAAGAGCGGAGGGATGCCAGAATCGTGCTTTTTAGCGTGGGACCAGAGCCTTTGCTGGTATGGAGCTATTCTGTCAGTGTTATAGCGGTAGCCTAACACTGAGAGAAGCGTAAGTGGCTCAGAAACAACTTCTCCATTAAAGGTGGATGTTACTTTAGGTTTTGCAGTTAGTATCAATCCTTGCATCGCACCGGCACTCCCACCTGCTTGCATAGTGGGAAATGGAACAGGGGCTGCAAAAGGTGGAAATAACAGGTGTGTCCTTTGGATGTGGTGATGCTTGGTTGGACCATTGCCCTCCACTCTTGAAGGCTTTTCTGTTGCTTCATGGCAGCCTAACATACTTCACAGCATGACTGGGTTTTTTTGGACACTTGAGATATGTGCATCAGTATCAAGAAAACCACTGAAGTAAATCTTTGCAAGAGTGTTCTCCTTTGAACCAAAAGGGATGTTTATGAATGTTGTAAATAAATAAGGAAAATTGCATATTGGAAGGATCTATAACAAACATTTAAAAAACCCCCAGTCTTATTTTGAGTTTTTGCTGATGCTGTATGAAGTAGTCAGACTGACTTTGTGTCTTGTTGAAAGTGCCTTGTTGAAGATTCTGGCCTCAAAGTAATCTTCATGGTAGAATGAATGTAAACAAAGTGTAATGATAATTCCTAAGCTGATATTTTGGTATCTGCCTTGGTAAAGACATACCTACTTCTTTTTTGCATCTCAGAAAGATACAGTGATGCTCCCAAGGTGAATTAGGGAGTCCTTGATGTGATCTTTCTGCTGAATTTTACTTTGGTTAATTATTTCAATTTCATTTAATAAGATGCATTACTCTTTATTTCCTGCCCTAACATGCAATGCAGAGTTCACATGACACTGCGTAAACAGTTGTCTTTCACACTACAGGTAGATGTGTTTTGCGAACCCTTAAGGTGGAAAGTATTATATATGTATTAAATGATATCACCTGCTCAATAAAACTTAAACCAGAATAATATCAATAATTAATAAAAATAGTAGCAAATGTTTATACTTAGCATTTTCCACTGTGTTACTTCTCATTAAAGGGATAAATGTTAGAGTGAGGAAGCTCTGCAAATAGAGAAAGGATTGTTTCCACTGGTCAAACTTGGGAGTGGCTTTTCTGATGAATAACATAAGCTAATGATCTCAATCTGGTTTTGACCCATGAGCAACAATACTGAATGATGATATTGCTATAGCTGAGGTCACAGTTTCTCAGCTTCAGGTTTAATGTTTTTATATCCCATGACTTTGACCAATGTTGGCAGGTATGATGGGTAGTGTGTTGCTTGCTCTCCAGGGCTGGAGATCAACTTATAAGCAACTTCTTTTGCTGCTCTCACTCTACATTGGTTGTAAGAAGGAAAACTGAATGTATTTGCTTTCAGTGTTTGCCAGGATGTAACTGAAAAATATTTGTAAATTAAGAAAGGGAAAATGTCTAGATTTGGTGGAAAGTTGGCCTGATTGCACCTTCAACAAAAATAACCTAATACATGTTGGCAAAGCACAGAACATGTGGCTACTTCTGCACAAATATGTTTTAGAAGTTGTGCTAGTAATTACAATGTCAATCTTTCTGATGCCATAGTTAAGCAACATTATTCGATGCCCTCCCCTCATATCTCATGCAGCTGTGTGCTAGAGGGCCGAGCCAAACAGAACAAAATGGCACAACTTAAAATGGTAAATGTAGCAACCTATCCAGTGCCAGGGTAACACCTTAATCCTGGATGGCTTCAGCGGGTTTTCAAATCACTGCGTCCGGTTTTTTTGTTAATATGGACTCTTCCAGCATTTTAACTTAGAATTTGCCAGCCCGAGCAGTCTGAGAGGTAGCCCCCTCCGGTGGAGGCTGATAATGGCTGGATGGAAGCTGTGGTCAGTATCAGAGCAGCAAAGGAGGGCCCAGAGAGCCGTGCAAGTGTGCAGAGGTGAAGATGAGGTAAGGGAGGGAGGGTTAAACAATGAAGAGTGACAAGGCTTAAGACAACAAAGCTACATTTGATGCACTGCAGAAGCATACCGTCTTTTGATCTTATAGGCATTTTCAGTGAGATGTTTTTTATGCTTCTACTACTTGCCAATCATTTTTCTGGAAAACATGGTATTCAGTAAACCTGAAAATATCCACTGCTCTTTGGGATGTCAAGTTCATTTAGCTGCAATTCAGAAATTTCAAAATGGTTTCAGCTTACAAACAGCAATTTCCTCATCATCTCACATGAAGGTGATGCAGATGTTTGAAACCTCTGTGCCTACTGTACGTATCAGAAACACTAAACATTTCATCTTGATTTCTCTTCAGTACCACCTACTTCCTGGAAAATTTGGAAGCCTTGCATTTACCACTTCAAATTCTCTGCCAAGTTTCTTTCAATTTTTTTTTTTTTTGCTCCATTTTTGTCTCACACGTTTATTATATGGTGACAAATGCAGTTTTCTTCTGACACCACATAATAGATGTGTGAAACACACACACATGTTCTAGTAAGAGACTGCTCTTTATTTCCTGGCTCCAGTTGCAAAACATGAGTCAGGGTTAGAAAGGTTTTACCTCTGACAGAGATGTGTAATCCACATCCTCAAACTTTCCTAGCTTTTGCTACAGGAGTGGGGAAAAATGGCAAGTCTGGTTCTTCTATTTCTATACTCAGTGTTTCTTCCTCCCCAAGCACATCTTTTCTTCATTTTATAATCACCATTCCCTTGTACTGATTATATTTACTCACTTCAGAGATTGGCGCTATCATTAACAGGAAAAAAAAAAATCCCTTCAGCTCCTAAAACAAGTATACCAGCACTCTGACTGCAGGAGGTACAGCAGTTTTAGAGAAAGCATCCTTCTACTATTCTGGCTTTAATGCAAAGAAGAAACATTACTAGTCCATTTGCTGTGAATTCCAAGCACTATTTTCTCCACGTCAAGTGATATTTGATGTTCTGCTGTATAGTTGTAGGTAATGACCAAACAGCCTCTCAGCGAGACTCCGGTGACATAACACGCCTTATTTATATGTACCAGCTTTAAGTGTTCTGTACACTTCTGCAGTGTGTAGGGGGCCTCAGTGAAATACAATATCAGACAGATCTTTTGTGAACTAAAGTAGAACAAGCCCCATGTTACAAGTTAAAAGAAAAACAAGCAAACAAGCAAGCAAAAAGAGAAAACTGAACACATTATCACGTCCTACTGGATCCAAACAGGCTAGGAATTTCACATGTGAGGCAGTTACTCTGCAGTTACCCATGTATGACTGAAAGCAGCAGGAACTATGGTGTTTCCATGTTAATCATAAACAGAGTTTTGTATTGAATTTTTTTTCTAAATCATTTTATCCCACAAGGTCCTAGTGGTTGAGTTGCTCCTGCAATAGAATCACAAATAACTGGGTGACATACTGTGAAAAATTTAGAAAATGAGAAACACGATCCCATTTTCCAAACAGAGCAGAAACAACACTAATTCCATTAGGCAAGATGGAACAGACAATTAAACTGGGCATGCTTTTAATTTTGAAGCTAACCAGATAACTGATGCTTTTTTCAAATGTAATGACTATTGAAGTGATTCCTTTAATGTGAAGCAAACCCACTGATTTTCCTTTCTAAAATTAAAGCATTTACCTTATACAAATTATAAGAAATGTTACCTGTTGCCTCCACCATTCCTTCTAGGATTACAACAATTTCTAGCTCCTCTTTGGGCAACTGGGCTTTGGAAATCTCCCAGAAAGGACTCTGCTGGTTAATTTCATGGCTGATGATCAGTGGTGAAACCAAAAAGAGACGATCATCCCCTGTGTAATAACCTACGTTGATATCTGTCTGGTTGAGTGGTATAAATTCCCCCTCCTTTGTCTGTTTGGATTTGATCAACTTGGCTCGTATTGATGCCTCTACAATGTGTGAATTCCTAAGGTCTCCTACTCGGAACATCAGACACAGCTTTCCATCCCGCATGGAAATAACTGCGTTTGTAGAAAAAACCAAGGTTTCTGCCCTCTTCTTGGGTTGGGATATTTTCACAAACATGCAGCCAACCATGAAAGCGTTGACGATAGAACCTAAAACAGACTGCACTAAAAGCAGAATAATTCCCTCGGGACACTTGTCCGTGATGACCCGGTAACCATACCCAATGGTGGTTTCTGTCTCGATTGAGAATAAAAAGGCTGAGACAAACCCATTGAGGTTGCTGACGCATGGGGTCCACGTGCTGTCCCCTATATGATCCATATCTCCTCGCATGTAGGCAATTAGCCACCAGATCATTCCAAAGAAGAGCCAGGTTACAGTGTAAACCATGACAAAAATCAACAGGTTGAACCTCCACTTGAGATCGACTAAGGTAGTGAAGATGTCAGTCAAGTAACGGTAAGTCTCTCTGACATTCCCATGGTGGACGTTGCATTTCCCATCTTTCCTAACATACCTCTGGATTTTTCTCTTGGCAAATTCTTTGTTTATATTTTTTGGCAGATCCTCTCTAGCTTGTTTGGGCAACTTTGGCTGATGAATAGTGACAGGGCTCTCTATGTCCTGCTCCATTGAGTCTTCTTCCAGTACGTTAGCTGCCATTAAAAACAAACAAACAAGAAAAAGGCAGGCATTATTTTTCTTATTATTTCTCTAAGTCAACACACAAATTCTTCCTGTATTACTGGCATGAAATTGCTATCAATCAATAAAATTATCATCCTTGTTCTTTGCTCACCTATTAGACGCACAACACCAAAGTCAAACGATGCCAAGCATCCTCAATTTATTGCTAAATAGAAATACTTTGAAGGAAAATTGTCTTTCTCATTTCCTATCTATCAGGTCATCCTATCTACAACCATATTTAAATTCTGCAAGATGTGTTCAAGCAGCTCTTTCTTCCCCCCACCCCCCCTTTACAGTTTAACAAATTAGGTTTCTTATGCACCAAGAAAGATCTTCTGGGAGATAGCAGATACAAATGAGGAAACGGATTCGCTTGGGGGTTTGAGTCAACAAGATGAGCACAGAAAATGAGCAGTTGTGAGCTACTTTTTCTATCAATTGCATTGCTATGGGGAAAGTATTAAATAAATATAAGGAGTTTAAAAAAACCCAACATTTTTTAGAAAGAACCAATCCTACTCTTGTTGAAGGAAAGCAGGGCTTTACTGTAATATATACCAAGAGCAATTCAAGCACACTTCCACAGAAAATCAGTCTCGCTGATACTGAGACGGGGAATTGTACGTCCTTCTCCCAGTAACATAAAACATACAGTACTTCAGAACATGATTTCATTTTAATTCAGTATGCCTGTGGCCTTTAATTCAAGTGTGCATTTTTCTCTAACTGTATGGGCCTACACAAAGTTCCCCCGCAAGTGTCTTACAAGAATTTAAAACCCAGAAATGACAGTAACTGCCTTTTTTTTTTTTTTTTTTTTTTTGCATCCCAGCCTTCTGAGATAAATAGCTTCATTATGTTTATGTGCAAAAAAGAAGAGTTTACTGAGGAGGAGAGTGGTTTAATCAAATGGATTTTGCATGATGCTGAGGACCCAGTGAGGTCTGGGGTAACTGTTGTCTTTTTACTGGAAACCCTTCTGCATTCTGGGGCTTGTGCCTGCAGGAATTTCAGCTCTTGAACTCCTAATTTTCTCCCTTCTGGCTAACTGCTATCATTCTGCTGCCAGGCTGTGAAGGGAAAAGGCTTCTGCTGTCTCTGCCTAGATGCTTGTCTGAATATAGTAGCACTGATGTGATGTTGTACCATCACTTTATGGAGATGCTCTTCCTGAAGAGTCAGGGCATTGACCTGCATGTTGTTGGTGCACCCTGCAATGGCCACAGTTTACATTAATGTTCTGCAGTAACTTCTGTGCAGGCTCAGGTGTGGGCTGCCCAGTCCTGCTATGGATGGTGACATTCAAGCAGAGAGCTGGGAGCAAGCAGCTTGGGTTGGGAAGCACTTAATTTCCCTGAGCTCCAGTTGCCGCTGAGTACCTCTTGCGTGGCTGGGAAATGGGGGCATAAAGCGATCAAAGCTCCTGCTTGACACAGCAGTCCTGTCTCTGGCACCCCATGGGCAGGGGTGCCTCTGCCTGGCACTGCCCTGGGCAGTAGACCCAAACCCTTTCATGTGGAGGAGTTACAAGGGAAGTCTGGGCTCTTGTCCAGAGAGAGGGTTGCACAAGGGGCTGCTCTTGGTGGGTCAGTAATGGCATGAAGACCGTTTTAGTCACTCTCTCTCTCTTTAGTCACACAAACATGTGTTACATAGCAGAATATCTGTGGAGTTTCACAGCACTTGTAGCTTTTTCAAGATGTGCAGACTCATACTTGTGGAGAAAGATCACAGACCCTTGTGAAGTTTTAGGGGTGACTGAAATACCCAGGGGAAAAAAAAAAGGGGTTGGATACTGGTTGTCTCTCCGTCTGGCCAGGTCTACTGCTGGCCAAGCCTCCGTTCAGCCCCATAGCCTTTTCTGTGTTAAGGCCGGCAGTAGCATGGAAACCTGAGAGCGGGTCTGTGTTTAAAGACTGTGCGTTCCACCCTGTGTCACTTTTTCACTTTGCTGCTGCGTGGAAAGAGAGCATTATTCAGGCTGATGGTAGCGGCAGCACTGGAAGTCGTGTCACAAGGCAGTCAGTTCTGAATAAACTTACCCCGGTTGGTGACAGTTTGCCTGCTTGCATTATCATTAGTGCTATGTAGTGTATGACGAAATAAACACAATAAAAAGGCATTGCAGGACCTTTGTGAGGCAGACTTAAGCCAAAGCCAGAAAATTTGAAGTTAAGGCTTCACACTTTATGCTTAACTCTCTATTGTGCCTAGGGAAATTTCAGTCCACAGGAGCTATCACATCACTGCAGTAACAGACCCCTCAAATACTCACGAACAGCCTATGAAGACTCTGGCTTTTGAGGCTTTAATGCAATGTATGTTAGACTAGTAATGCTGGTTTAGTATGGTTCATTATCTTTAAGGCATTATGAATATTTTGCTTTCCCCTCCCAGTTAGACCCTGGCATGAACACAGAGACAGGGTGCAGGTGCTCCCTGTTGCCTTTGAGAATATACCTTACTTCTGACCTTGCTATTAAAGGCAACCATGTCCTAGACCTCCCTGCCTAAGCATCTGTTACCAGAAATGGCAAAGCATACTAAAAACCATAACAGGGCTGGGAGGGGCGACAGGTGCTGATTTTATCAGCGACATCAGGAGAAATCTGAAGGGACATCCCCATCCAGGGATGCCTACCAGTCACACCCTGCGCCCATCTAGCCTGCTTTGCATACAGTGTTTATTTCCTTGCTAGCAATGAAGTACCTTTTATTCTTACAACAAATTTTAGTGATGCTTTCAAAATGCTTTGTGTTGATTAAGCCCTTGTGCATCGCAACCAGACTTTCCTGACTTTTACAGTACATGAGCTGACCCACAAAGAGAGTTAAGTGCCACAATTTCTCAAGCGGCCACAGGTTTTGTAGCTGGAGCAAGGAGCTGCTGTGCTCCCCAGCACATGGTGGTGGGCTGTCACTGTAAGTGGGCTTCAGACACCTGCCCCTTCCAACATGGAAGAATTTTTCTCAGCTGTGAGATGTCGCAGCAGAGCTGACTCCCATCTGGGTATGTAAGAGGGCAGCTTTGGACAGCCAGGCGCAGTGACTGCATTTAACCCGTCTCTCTCAGTATAGCGTCTTGCTAACACTCTTGCGGACATTTTAATCTCCCTGGGGGCATCTGGCCATTTTGTAAACTCTTCAGGCTCTTCCCAGTGCTGTCATTTCTCAAATATCAGGCAGTCTCTGAGAGGAAAAATTAAGGTCAAGTTTTTAGTCTTTTTCTCCTTAAGCAAGATGCTCTTTTACTATTTCTCTTACCCAATTTGTATTGTGAGACCCAACAAATACCTGTATGGGGAGGTTTCTAGATGAGAGTCACAGCCCGTCACCCTCTCCTGGTCTGAGTTCTCACTCCAGAGTGAACCTTGGGAGCAGCAATTCCTGAAATAAGTGATCCAAGGATTGTGCATCTGTGTGTTTCCATGGAAATGCTTGATGAATAAGTTTTAAACACATGGCTGGATCCCTATTCACCACTAAGGCTGAGGAACAGCCACATATTGTCAGTGCTTTTGCCACAAAACACTTTGACTAATTATATTTTTACTTGATATCAACCCAATTAGCTTATGCTGTTTATTTCATTTAATTTTCCTTTTGGTTATATAATGGCTGTCATGGTTCCAGGAACAGAGGAGTGAATAGCATCTCTCTCGCTTGAGAGCTATTTTTACTCTCTCCACTTTTCTTCATGACAAAAATATATACATATTATTAATCTGCACACAAAAAAAAAAAAAGAAAAGAAAAAGATGTACTTCTTCTGAATGCTTCCCCCTCTCCCAGTAAACATTATGTTTGTTTGAACAAAACGGCCAGGTAGCAATACCGTGCCAATTTAGGGCAATTTAGAGCATTCTGTTCAAAGTATGTGTTTCAGTGAGTCCTTTAGGCAAATGCATACAACACATATGAGATTTCAGCGACTTGTTTCATTTTCCAGCAAATAACAAGGAGTTCTCCTAAATAAGTCCCTGAATATTTCACTGATGTTTCATCATAGCAGTATGTACTATACCAGTAAATTAAATGTGCCCAGGCCTGTTCTTTAGCATGGAGGCTAAATGGAGCAGTACAGCCTACACTTGAATTATTGAACTCCTGTTGTTTTCAAAACAGGGTAGTCTCATACAATCTGCTTATTAGGAATAGTCTGTGTCCCATGCTAACACCTGAAATGTCGCCAGGAATTGTGTGTACTCAGTTCTGCACTGGTCAAAACCATGCCAGGGGCTTTTCTAGGAATTTTACCATAAAAGGAATTGGGTACCAGTGCTTGGGAACATTTTATTTTCTAGCAAAGATGCAACCAGTGTTGGTGTCCTGGTCTTGTCTATTCCAGAACAGCATTCGCAAGGCATAATCCAGTGTTTCCAAGCACATATTTTTATTTGGAGTCTGTAGAATAACATGAATCCAGTGTCAACAACAAACTATGAGCTGTATAGGAGATGCTCTCACAACCTTCATGGCTGCGAATATAACGTATTCCTATAATCCCTAAGCAATAATTTTATCACTAGCAATGTGATTTTTTTAGACTTTGGTAGTGCTTCAGAGATCTTGTCCTGGTACTGTACAAATAAAAACCAAAAGGAAGTATGTGAAGGACATACTTGTCTAATTTAAATACTCATGGCCTATTCTGATCGTATACTGTATCAGAGTTGTAGGATGACCTGCAAAGTAATAAGGATTTTCAACAGAGAATATTACAAATTATATCTGATCTTTTTGTAACAGAAAATGATATAGAAAGGTTAGTGAATGTTTCACTGTAATTTAGTAGACTGATTTTCTCTTTTGTAACATAGTTGTGAACGGTTTGTATGCAAATTTATAGAAAATTATAAATGACTTTTTTGAAAATAATAAATTTTCATAGAAACTATGATTCTATGATTCTACGAAAATTCATTATTTTCAAAAAAGTCATTTATAATCTACAAATTGTTCTCATGGGCTTT